CAAAATGAATGGCTGAGAAATAAGTGCTGGTAAAATGTTAAACCTCAATTGGGTTTGATTGTTGTTTGGTAATTCTATGTAATACATACGAATTGTGCGAAGATCGGTTTATGTGATGGTGTAGGTGTTATTTTTGAAACTATAGTTTGTGTGAAATTTCTGCTCTGCATTTGAATAATAAATTTCAATTATTAGGATGAGGGAAACTACGAATGTGATCATTTCTCCATCCAGTCGTTCTGTTTCAGCTACCACCATCCGTCGGAGACGAAACCTACCGAATTTTGGGATAAATTAGGAAGATTCTTTTCTTCTACTTGTTGCGGAGGATTATAAAATGGTGCCGCCTTTGAAATGTTGAAGAAATCTGAATCCAAACAAAACATGAGGAAGCACGAGAGGTTGTCTAAGATCTTAGACGTGCTAAGCCTGATAGAAACAACCCCAACAGAGCTCTTTCGCAAGTGTAGATGTCTCTCAAGGCTGAAGATGATGCCCCTGACTTCCCCCGAGGTTTGCTCTCTCACTTTGTCATGGTTATGGATGCAACTTGGGCATATTTTTTTTTATCCAGTTAGTAAATTTTCATGTACTATGTTACGGTTAACATCGTTATACTTTGGTTTTAGTTCAATCTCCTAAGTTTGTATGTTTGGGCGAAGACGAAAGATATAAACAATAAGGTAATGCTTGGTTGAGCTAATTTTAGGATCAGGAGAGCTAAATGATTATTTGCTATCTCTCAGTTTGATAGATTAAGGTTGACTTTGTTTGGAAATAAAATTGTAGTCATTACATCTTTTATTTATTTATTAATAATTTTTTTTCTTGTACTGATTTGTTTAGAAATCACACGTATCTTTACAAGGTTATTCATTCTATTTAGAAGGAAATGATTTGTGTTTTTTTTTCTACTATCATATCTTATATCTATGCACTTGTTTGATAATTGTAGTCCCACAGTGATTTTTGTGTTTGCAAATGTCAACTTCTGTTTATTGTTGTGTTTAGAACCAAAGAGAATTTTAGTATAATATTTTATTCTGCATACAAATTGGAATTTTACAAACAAATAAGCACTTTTACAACTTATGCTTCAACAACAAATAAAATCACCTCCTTGATTTTTCTTGACATACTGGTATCCTCTAGGGGGCATTTGAAAAAACCCTGCATTTTCTCGACATATTTTATCCCTTACTGGTTATGTATTCTGTATATTAGATTTAAACATAAAGAATGTTTTCTTTCATTCTTTTTTTTTTTTTTTTTTTTGTAT